CCCCTCCTCACTGCCCTGGACCTGGACCACAACCGCCTGGACCACCTGCCCCCGGGGTTCTTCGATGCCAACGAGGAGCTGGCACGCGTGGGGCTGGCCGACAACCCCTGGGCTTGTGTCTGCCGCCTCGCCTATCTCCTGGGCTGGCTCCAGAGCTTCGCCGAGCCCCTCACCCACGCGCAAGCCTCCTGCACCAGCCCAGCCGCTCTCCAGGGTCGGTCCCTGCTGGAGGTCCCCCAGAGGCAGCTGGAGTGCCCGGGAGCACCTGGTGTCCCTCCAGAGGAGGGCTGGCATGGGGATCCAGGTGAGGATGCTCTGGGACAGTGCACCTACAGCAACCCTGAGGGCACCGTAAGTGTGGCCTGTGATGCCACGAGCTGCCAGCAGCTGAGCCTTCGCCTCCCTCCTCCTCCTCCCAGGCAGGTGTCAGGGGCAGCGTTCCAGGGCACCTGGGTGCTGCGCTCCCGCTGTGGTACCCTGCAGGTCAGTGTCCTCGTCATGGCGCAGCCTGGGGACGAGGCCACCTCACCAACTCTCCCCACTGCACCCTAGGGCTTGGACAGGCGTCTGCCTCTGCTCTGCTCTTGCACTGGCAACCTCGGAACCAGCCTGGGAAACAGCACCCTGTCTGGCTCCGCTACCCCTACCACGGTCACCCTCTGTCACCGAGCTCTCCATAAGAGCTGGCCTGGTGGTATTTATTCTCCCAGCTGTGCGTTTCCTGTGTATTTCAAATCTAATTAAAATGTATATATTATTTCTGTGCAGCCAGTCCCCGCGATGGAGAGAGGAAACGCTCAGTTCGCCTGCCTCTGCCTGCGTGTCTGGGGGAAGCGGTGAAGGTCGCTGTGGTCCGATGGGGCCCTGGCGTGGTGTGGCGTGGGTGCAGGTGCCTGGCAGCGAGTAGGTGCCACCCTCTGCTCACCCCTGCCTGCTGCACCTTCCAGCCCCACCCCGACCCCCTTCCCCGTGCAGTGTGGGGACCCAGCTGCGGCCGGATGGGTGCAGGTTTGGTGTGGGGCGTCCACGGGAGACACGGGTGAGTGCTGTCAACTGCCCAGCTAGCAGGGTGGGCGCCAGAGGCTGGGGACCCCCCACCCTGGCAGGGCATGATGGCCTGCAGCCTCACAGCCTGTCCCAGGGAGGCTTGGGGACCCATGCAGATGCCCACCCAGGGGGTTGCTCCCCTAAGAGAGCAAGTGTGTCTGCATGCACGTGTGTGCTCGTGGGTGCTTGCACGCGTGTGCTCGTGGGTGCTTGCATGCATGTGCTTGTGGGTGCAAGCACATGTGCATGGGTGCATACACACATGTGCTTATACACATGTGCTTATGGGTATATGCACACCTGCTCCTGTGGGTGCATGCACGCGTGTGCCTGTGGGTGCATGCACGTGTGCGTGGGTGCATACACGCATGTGCCCGTGGGTGCATGCAGGTGTGTGCCCGTGGGTGCATGCATGTGTGCGTGGGTGCATACACGCGTGTGCTCGTGGGTGCATGCACGCGTGTGCCCGTGGGTGCATATACGCGTGTGCCCCTGGGCGCATACA